GATGGAAGAAACAGTTGAGAAGTTGAAGATTGCTGTGGTTTTTATACAATTTAAGTTTGTGCCTCATTCTCCTCTTTTTCACTTTCTTCGCCCCTCCTTGCAAACAAGCCTACATTTCAAGGTTAACGTCCTATGATTGTTTTAGAAGATGTAGACCCCAGGGACTCTGCAGTTTACCTGCTGAGATAGGTTGATCCAAACGGGGCTTCCCATTTCTAGCAGCAGAAACAGCAGTGCACTGAGCGAAGGCAGGATTCACAGAGACCTCTGTGGGCTCAGGCCCAGGTGTGTGTCTTTGCTGCTCATTGAGTTTCTCACGATCAGTTCTTATGTTCCTGTTTTAGATGATACTAAGGCTAGTTTAACCTGCCAACAGTGCAGAAATTTGCTCTGTATTATTACTTGCAGGTGGTTCTTTTACTTTATTTTATATATTTTTATTGATTTTTTTAGAGAGAAAGGAAGGGAGAGAGAGATATATCGACTGATTGCCTCCTGCATGCCCCCTTCCAGGGGTTGAGCCCACAAACCAGGTATGTGCCCTGACCCGGAGTCAAACGGGGACCTTTCAGTCCATGGGACAATGCTCTGTCCACTGAGCCACACCGGCTGGGCTGGTTCTGCCCTTTTAATGATGAGCAGCTCAAAGGCTTCACTAAGTTAACCCATTTAATATTGGAAAATATTCCTTATACTGAGAGCAAATAGTCCTAAGCGTTTCGCTCATGTTCTGGCCTCTGTGCTGTAGGAAACACAAGGCAGTTCTTTCCCACGCCCACACAGGCCCAGGAAAACTTCTTTCCGAAGGCTTGCCCGTGCAACAGGTTAAAGCAAGACCCTGGGAGCTGAGCGGCGTGGGGGCCGACGAGCCTACTCCAGGCCTGCCCTGAGCCCTCGCACTGCTGCAGCCGGCGGGGCCTCTCACGTTCCCGCTGACCACGCCGTGGATCTGCCGTGGAGAAGGGTCTGCAGCCACCTCGGGAGCTGACACCCGGATCCTCCTCCGTGTTTCCTGAGACGAGCCCTGAGGGGAGCTCTGGAAATAGATGCCAAGAGAGAACAAATCACTGAACTCGACTCAGGCTCGCAAGGCCTTCCAGAGCCCCGTCGCCTCCTTCCCGAGGCCTCTGCCTTCCAGGCGCTGTGACGGTCTGTGGCCTGAACGCCTCTGCGGACACAGCCCCTCGGCTCCTCTCTGTCGTGAGGGATGGCCGGGCTCTGGTGCCTTGATTTATGTTCCTCTTGTCCTCAGCCAGATACGTGTCAAAACTGATATCTCTGTGAGCTGTTTTGTTTTGTTTTTTTTTTCCAAGGGAGGTCAGGAGGGGAACAAAAGAACAGGGATTTATATTTTCCCACAATTGCCGAGCTCCCCGAACGGAAATTCTCATCAGCCAGCACACGCAGCTGGTGAGCTGAGTGCAACGGAGAGTCCATGCGGAGTCGAGGTGGAGCCCTTGCCTTAGGAAAATCTGCGTCGGAGTCTTTTCGAGGGCAGGTGTGTGTGAAGAAGAAGACTTTGTGAACACTGCCCAGCACGCCTCACACGGCGGTGCTGGGAGCTGGCAGGGTGGCAGCGTGCCTGGGAGGGATCAGCCCCTGTCCCCTGCCAGGGCAGAGCTGCCGAAAGCCGCACCCTGCTCTCCAGCAAGGCCGTCCTCACAGGGCCGGGTGGAGCTCCGGCATCAAAGCATGGGTTCCAGCTTGCAGCCACCTGGGCCGCAGTGTTGGAGACAAAACTTCAGTAACAATGGCCAGGATAAGCCTCACCCTGAGTGTGTGGCGTTGGCTAAGGCAGAGCGAAGGTTGGTAGCGTTCTGGCGATTCCGGATGACTAGCAGGTGTGTACTGTTCAGTATTATAATTGCATAACTACTTCTGTGGTTGAGAATGATTCAGCAATAAGCTAAGGTCCTTTTCCCTGTGCACACAAAGGCCCTTCCCTTCCTCACTCAGTCTTGGAGATATGGCTTCTTGTAATTTTCGTGTTCTGAGTGTTTGACAGCTGATGAGCACTTCCGCACCATCACCTCACTGGGGCCCTCGGCCAGCCTCGAAGTCGGTGTGATCCCCTCTCCTCCCGAAGGTCAGGGCATTCAGGGTGTTGCCACAAGCACTGCCCTGTCACAGCTGGAGCTGATACTTCACCTGGTTCTTCTGACTGCAGTGACCGGTTCTCTTCCCTGCTGTCATCCTGAGACTGGAGTGATCTGAGTCCTGCTTGGTGTCCCTGCCAGAAGGCTGTCACTGGAGGGTGAAGGACCAGGCCTGTGAGAGAGGAGGGCTGACACTGGGAGCAGACATGACCCCATGGACCACACACACTCACAGACTTGAAGTGACACAGAGTGTTCCGAGGGTGACAATCCCATTTGCCCCGGACCCTCTTGGGTTTAGCACCGACTGTCCTGCATCCCGGGAACCCTCTCAGTCCTGCGCAGAACACATGAGGAGCAGTTCTGCCCCCTTGACGCCACCTGTAGGTTTGGTGGCACCTCCAGGTGCAGGAGATTCTTAGCCCCGAGCTCTCTGGAAATTCTGGAGCTTCTGGGACGCACAGTTGGTTTCTGCAAGACATTCTTTCTGAGCCTGGACGCCAGGTCATGTTGTTCCAAGGGGTTACATTTGAAATGTTTTAAAAATCCAAACCTTTGGTGACCAATGGGAACCAAGTTAATAAAATCCTATTTACTGCTGACCTGGTCCAGGCAGTCCAGGCAGTGGTTTATGATCCTCACCACTGAGCCCGGGACGGATGAGCCGCGTGTGGATTGTCATTCCCAGTTTACGAGTGTGGCGGCTGAGGCCAGCGTATTCCAGCAAGGCTCCTGGTCCTGCACCAGGGGCACCCAGCTCCGAAGCCCTGCTCCTGCAGCACCTGCTCAGGGCCCTGCCTGGTGTCTTCTGTCCTGAGCAGTAGAGTCCACGGGTCCTTTGAGGTTCGCAGTTTCTTTGGAGGCTCGTGGAAACCTCTGGAGCGGCTCCAGGCCCACAGCAGTTAGGAGACTCAGGAGCCTGAGAGACGTGGCCCCAGGATTTCACAGAAGCTCCGAGGAAAGGTCACAGCTGGCGACTTCTCCAAACCTAAAATTAGGGCTGATGAGCTTTACCACCCAACATGACTGAGATTTTTCAGCTCAACGTTTTTTGTAATAAGTTACCTCCCACGTGGAAGCTTTTGACATTTTACCATCCAAACTGTTCTCCTGGAGAAGGGATTAGGACCATAAAGGTTGTAGAGATATAAACCTCACTCAATAACAGTATTTTGGGTAAAATTTTGTTTTTAGATCAATGTCCTATGAGGTTGTGCCAAGGCCTTAGGCGGGAGCTGACCGAATGGGTATCTCTGTGCCGGCACCCCCCACCTTGGTGCTCCTTTGCCTTTGTTCATAAGTAAATGACTTTTCTCTGCTGAGATAAAGTTGGGTTTCTTTGTTTTGCAGGTGGAGACTCAGATGACCTGTTTTGTCCACACCTGCTCACTTTGTCTGATGATCCCTGCAAGACGGGCCTGGTTTCTTCAGTGTTTGCAGCTAAAACAATGGCTCACACTCAGGCCTCACCGACTGGTGGCGCCTTTACCTGGTGGATTGAATATGGCTGTGGGGTGACCCAGCCAGTGTGGCTCAGCAGCTGACCCATGCACCAAGAGGTCACCAGTTCGGTTCCCGGTCAGGGCACATGCCAGGTTGTGGGCCCAATCCCCAGTGGGGGGCATGCAGGAGGCGGCCAATCGATGTTTGGTCTCATCAATATTTCTGTCTCTCTCTCCCTCTCCCTTCCTTCTCTCTAAAATCAATCAAGAAATTATTATTTTTAAAATTTGACTACAGGGTGAGATTTACTTATTCTAGTTGCTGATTCTGAATTGGGCACAAATACATTTTAAATGAGAACTGCAATACTTACTATACACCAGGAGAGATCTCTGTGGTAAAGCCATATCAGTTTTACAAAATAAAATTTTGTTCATAGTTTTTATCTGAAAAATACTTCACAGTCTGAACAGCTTTTTCTGAAGACTTAGAAAACCTCCTGCCCTTTTGGTCCACAAGAGTAAAATCCCCCGTGTGCAGACTGAATTCACTTGGAGGTGGTGAGCCGGGGTGCCCCCGGTGTTATAACTAATGCAATCCGCCGTGGACACTCTCCTATCAACAGTCAGTGAGTCCGGAGATCCCAGTGTCATTGCATCTCATATGAAGGCACAGTGGTGTGAAGTGGTTAAACAGCCACTTCTGAAGAGTTAAGCACTTGCCCAGGTAAGTGAAAGGCCTTTGGCCTCTGAGAGCCAGGCTGCAGGCCGCATGCAGTTCAGTGTGCCGTCTGCCCTGCACTGTGCGCAGACTACAAACACATGAGACCCTTTTGTGTCTAACGGTGATTTGGGTTCAGACTGTAATCTGTCCATGTGCAGGGGCAACAAGATTGACTTTTCTTTCTACCCTCCAAACACCTAGGAACCGTCCACATCAATGTTCTATGTACTCCCAACCCTCCTTTTCCAACCTGTACCTTCTATTCTAATTTGATTACATGTCCTTGGCCCTATGGCCATTTGTGTTTAATGATAGGTTTTCCACAAACTACATCAGGCTTTTGCAGAACGCAGTAGAGTGCACATGCAAACATGCATGCTCATCCCTGCGCCCGGCTGTGCCGACCAGAGCAGCCGACGAAGCACATAGTGTGTTTTCAGTGGGTTGTCTGGAACTCAACTAACCTGACCTGTTTCTATACCCCCCATTGTAAGGCAGATAAGAATGCTTTCAGCCCTTTTCAGTAGGTTTGATTATTCTGTCTTTGTTAGATCTCTACTGTTGGGTTGATCATAAGTTGCTGTGTTTATTTTTATGACTTGTTTTGCAAAGGGTGGAGCTCATGGACCATTGCAAGGTCTCGGAGGCTCTGAGTCATATTGCTGAAGGCGGACCTTTTGAGCTAGACTATTTATCTGAGGATACAAGATACTGTTAGTTACCACAGGGTGAGCTAAACATCAGTGAAAAACAGTCTCTGTTTACTGAACTACAGAACCAGGAAAAGACAGGATGGGCACTGCTGGAAAAGTAAGCAGAACTCTTCTGTATCCTCATGATCTTGATCTAATAATGTGGGTTGATTTTTAGAACTTTGAATACCTAAAAGTAATTGACTACTTGGGGATGTTTCTTGAGGAATTAAATGCCTGGGAAAGAGACACTGGGGAGGGTGTATCAGCCTGCTAATGAAAACAAGATAAAACAGTATATGGAAGGGTTTTTTGGTAAGACATCGATGGGAAATGGAGAAAAGGTTTATACTGTTTATATTGTGCTTTACACTGACATTACTAATAACTTAATTTCAGGATAGTTAGGCATTTGCTCTGGGCAGCAAAATGTTTCCATAAAGAGAATTTTCAGTCTCATTTAAATGTGTTGCATTCCGTTCTGGGTCAATGGGAGACCAGGGATGGTTCCCAGCTGTTGGGAAAAGATTTTCCTGCTGTTACCTATGGGAAATGTTAATTCTGGAAAGCAAAGTAGACAACAAGTTATCAGGCTTTGAAGATTTTTCTAAGGATGTAGTTTTCATCAAAATATAAGTTTAAAAACAAGAATACACTGTAGTAAAGTATGTTCAGTCTGTAACTTTAGAAAGAGCTTTGGCATTTTTTTTCCATTTGCAAATTGGTCAGTATAGTTCCTTGCTTTGAATGGTAGATGGTTGTTTAGAGTGTTGGGTGCTTTTGTTTTATTTATCCATTTTGGATTTTATTTAAACAACTTGGCCTTTAGCCTACTGTGAGGTTTATAGTCTGGGCAATGTGCGGAGGCCATATGCTGTGAGAACTAGAAATCTTTGTCCCTGGGATTGGACAGAAGTAGAATGAAAGCATTCTAGTTTGAGTCAGGAACCCAGCAAAACTACCTTAGTGGGGGAATTAATTTTGCACTATAGAGGCTAGCAACTCTAATGAATTTTATGGTGGGAAGGTAGTTTTAAAATCTGTAACTCCATCCAACCAACAGGTGCTCAGTTCTAGTTATACTGCCTCTATAAAGTAGCTATGTAGCCGTTGTTAGAACATTTCCAGTGCTGAGGAACTCAGTAGGCTCAAGGTGGCAGTTTCTAATTATAATTAGTAATACAGTGTATAATTTAAGATACAGCATACAAGCTGTGAAATGTTGATAGATATGGTTATGTACTAGTGTGGTTTGCATAGGGTTATATGCACATCCCCTGTTACCCCAGTGTCTCAGTGCAGCTCATCAGAGCAGGGGCTCCCCGTACATTGAGGATTACTTTTTCCCCTTTTATACTGAATATTTAGTTTGCTAGGGCTGCCATAGCAGAGCACCACAGACCGGGTGGCTTAAACAGCAGAAATTTATTTTCTCAGTTCTGCCTGCTGGAAGTCTGAGATCAAGGTGTCAGCCAGGTTGTTTCCTCTGAGGGCCTCTCCCTTGTCCTGTAAATGACCAGCTTTCTGTATTTACATGGTCTTCTTTCTGCACGTCTGTGTCCCTATGTAGACACCAGTCAGATTGGGTTAAGGCCCACCCTAATAACCTCATTTTAACTTAATTACCTATTAAAAGACTCTTTCCAAGTACAGAGATATTCCAAGATTCTGGGGGTCAGGATTTCAACCTATGAATGTTGGGCAACACAGTCCAATCTATAATAATAATCATCCTGGAAAATTAGAATAATAGGGAAACAGGATAAAAAATCAACCATAGTCTTACATCCTAAAGACTACCATTGACTTCATTTTTTAAAAAAGGTGTTTTTATTGATTTTTAGAGACAGGGAATGAAGAAAGAGAGAGAGAAACATCAATGTGAGAAGGAAACATGGATCGGCCTCCTCCTTCAGGCCCCCTACTGGGGATGGAGCCCGAAACCTGGGCTTGTGCCCTGACCAGGAATCAGATTAGCAACCACTCAGTGCACAGGGCGATGCCAACCCACTGAGCCACTCCGGCCAGGCCAGCTTCGTTTTTGTTTGTACGTTCTTCCTCACATTTTCACCCATATTTTAGTTGTACTCACACTATTTATAAATATTTTATCCTATTTTTCCTACTTAAATTTGGAAACATGTTGTGAATTTCTAACTCTAATTTCTAGATTTATCACAATTTATTCAACAAGTTTTTCAGTATTGCCTGCATGTTGGTTTACACATATTGGTTACATATTCCTCTTTATAAGTAGTACTATAATAACCTCTAATATATATTACTTTTTTCTGAGTTTACCATTTAAGATTTTTTTTTTCTATTTCCAGATAGAGTGGGAGGGAGAGAGAGAGAGTGAGCGTGTGAGAGAGAAGCACTGATAAGAGAGGGACATATCAATTTGCTGCCTCCCGCAGGGATGAACCACAGCCAAGGCACATGCCCTTGACCAGAATCAAACCCCTCGGTCCATGGTCCAACGCTCTAACCGCTGAGCCAAACAGCCAGGGCTGAGTTCACTGTTTTTAAGGTAGATTTTAAAAATGAAATTATAGGGTGAAAGGTCACGGTACTCCTTTTATAAAACTCTAAATAGCTCTTTAATTCATAAGTGAAACTGATATTGATAAACTCCAAAAGCTGAACTTTATAGAGCAATTAAAGAGTGAAGCACTCTGTCAGTGAAATGAGGTGACCATTGTCATTGTCTTGTACTTGGCTGGATGCTTGATATATCAGCAATTCTAATGTTTCTTTTTTTCTTCAACTACAGTCTACCTTCAGCATTATTCCATTGGTTTTGAGTGTACAGCACAGTGGCCAATCACATGCCTTATAACGTGTTCCCCTCCCCCCGGCACCGCCAGCCCCCACCTGGCACTGCACAGTCATCCAGCATTACTGACGATATTCCCTATGCCGTACTAGACCGCCCTCTGACTGTTTTGTAACTACCGATCTGTACTTCTTAATCCCTTCACCTCTTTCATCCAGTTTCCCAACACCCCCGCGCCCCGCTTTGGCATCCACCAGTCTGCTCTCTGTCTAAGGTCAATATACTCTTATGTAGGGTACAAAGTTTTGGTTATGCAAGATGAATGAGTTCTGGAGATGTAATGTACAGCCTGGTGATGAGAGTTAACAATATTTCATTGAACACTTGAGATTTTCTAAAAGGATAGATTTAAATCTTCTCAACACACATGCACACCCACATGCATACCACACACACCCTTGTAACTCTGTAGAGATGATGGATGGGTTATTTAGCTTGTTTGTGGTAATACATATAACATCAAATTATAGTCTTGAAATAGATTTGATTTTTATATGTCAAAGATATCTCAATAAAGTTGCCCAAAAATAAAATATGACCGTCTATAAGGAAAAACATTCTCAAGTATCTTCATGTGTGCTACAAATTATTTACCAACAGTGCTGACATACATGAATTGCTCATTTTGCCACCCCTTCTAGCATACCGTGTGTTCTCATTAAATAAAAGTTATTATATACTTAAAATAGAATTATATTTCATTTTTCTTTTTAATCCTCACCTGAAGTATTTTTCCATTTATCTTCGGATAGAGTGGGAGGAGGAAGGAGAGAGAGAGAGAAACATTGATGTGAAAGAGACATATCAACTGGTTGCCTCCGAATGACCCTACCAGGGCCGGGGACCGAACCGCAACCGAAGTATGTGCCCTTGACCAGAATTGAACCCTCAACTCTTTGGTCTGCAGTAGGACACTCCAACTGCTGAGCCAAACCAGCCAGGGCTCATTATTTTTATTGACAAAAAACAAAAACAAAAACAAAAATAAAACCCAACACCTTTTTATAACTGAGGAGAGCAACTACTACACAATATATTTATTAACTTGAATTTTCCTCCTTACGTCCTTTGCATGTCTCTGAGTGTGAGTATGGTATGTGGGAGGGCAGGAGTAATAGGATTGGATGTCTCCATGCTTTCCTTAGAAATCTGATTAAGCACTGTGTACATCAAAATGTTTACTTTTGTCATATTTTGCTTTAAGCATTGAGGACCCAATGACATGCAAAAACTGGGCTAAGGTGCAAAAAAGGAATACAGAGATGCAAATTCCCAGATTGAGTCATCCAGGAACTCATTCTATATCTATACTTCATGATGTTTGTGGTTCCCGTCATCTCTTCCTTGCTCATTGTCTAACTTCTTCCCTATTGCTACATAATTATATAGCACTTAAATACTAGCTTAAATTCTTGCAGAAAAATCAGCAGCATTTTCTATTGCATAAATTTACCCTTGTGGATAAGTGATACAAAGATGACAGTTTGTTCATTTGAAATGTAGTACAAGAATCTAATTGAGCCCTGGCCGGTTTGGCTCAGTGGTCAAAGCATTGGCTTGCAGACCAGAGAGTCCCAGGTTCCCTTCCCGCTAAGGGCATGTATCTTGGTTGCAGTTTGTCCCCACCCTGGTTGGGGTTGTTGGTCATGTGGGTGGCAACCAGTCGATGTGTCTCTCTCACATCGATGTTTCTCTCTCTTTTTCCCATTCTCTCCCTCCTGCTCTCTCTGAAGATAAATGCAAAAAAATTGTCCTCGGGTGAGGATTAAAAAAAAAAAAGAATCTAATTGAGTGAAATATTATGTGACTACAAGAGAAAAAAAAAAGCAAAAGGCTGGAAAGGCTGTAGCTTGGATCTAGTCTAGCCCTGCTTCTCATGTGACCATGGATCAATCATATATCAAACGTGGGTGCACACAACATGATCTCCAAGGATTACAATTCTATTTTCAATTAAAATTATCCTCGGCAAATTAGAATGTATCACATTTATTGATATGCAAATATTGTACCAGCCTTGCATGCCTGGTATAAATCCCACTTGATCATGGTGAATACTTTTTTTGATGTATTGCTGGATCCGATTTGCTAGTATTTTGTTCAGGATTTTGGCATCTTTGTTCATCAGGGATATTGGCCTGTAGTTTTCTTTCTCTGTAGTGTATTTTTCTGGTTTTGGAATTAGAATGATGCTGGCTTCATAAAATGAGTTTGGAAGTCTTCCTTCTTGAATTTTTTGAAATAGTTTGAGGAGAATGGGTTTTAATTCTTTGAATGTTTGG